GCTTTGCTGGGCCGTCCACTAAGGAAGTTTACATAGCAAGAAACCGCCAGGGCTTCACAGCACTGAGTATTCCGTTCCCTCCAGGAAGGGAGGGTTTGCAGCGGGGCATAGAAAGTTCATTGGACGCTGCTGAGACACGGACAGAATCTCTCGGGAGACTATCTGGTTACCTTTGCTCAGATGTTATGCACATCAGAGAACCTTCTGAAGAGTTATTCCGCTCCTCGGGGTCCCCCGTGGAGAACTAGGCATGTGTACTCAGTGAAGGATCCAAGGACACGGGCCATCTGATGCCCATCACAAAACAGGGAAAGAGTAGGATTGTTGAGGCCTCGCAACAGAATCACTGCCCCGGAATTGTGATTGGACACGTGGCCTCAACAGCAGCACTCAGTGTTCGCTGGGAGCTTTGACTCCTAGTCTCATGAACTGGAACTCTGACTGATACCCAGGAAAGTGGGGAGAACATATTAAGATAATACAAATAAGATTTATTTGGGACTGCCCAGTAGAGATGCCGCTGTTCTTCATGCTCCCCTTTGCTCGCTTCACTCCAGTGACCTAGGCTGTGTCGTAGTCCACAGAGTGCTGCAGTCTCTCCACAACTGTCTTGCAGGCTGTCCCTCTCTTCGGACTTACCTAAGTCTGCCTTCCTGTTCTCCACCTGCCCAGCTCTTTGTCATCTGAGAATCCTTAGCTCAGGTTCCTCTCCCACCATCTTTGCTCCCTACTCAACTTAAATTGTCTTTCTAGTCACTAGCATCCAGTTCTTCGCCGAACTGGTCCATATACAACCATGCACTTACTTGCCTGCTTTCCTTATTGTGATCTTTCTTATTAGATTATAAAATCCAAGAGATTGCTAAAATCTCTTAGCAATCTCCCTCCCCACTGTGTTCTCAGTGCCTCACACAGAACAGGCACGCCGTGTTACTTGTTGAGGAAAATGAGTGTTGTGTGAATGTAAGACATTCAAATTCCCATGACATTCATAAAACTGTTGGCCTCTTTGCCAATGCCGCAAAGAGTTTGGATAGCTTTGATCAGTTCTGGGTGGCTAGACAAAGTCAGGCTGTATCCTGCTCCCTTGAGGACCCACTCTGAGTTCTCACCCTAGTGGCCTGGCCTAAGATGTCGCAACTCCATTTCTTTCCTGTGTATTGCAGGAAGTATCTGAAAGATGACTTTTCTCCTAGAGGTCAAACTGACATTGGAGATGAAGACAAGCGGGGAAAACAGCAAGGATGAGGGGCCTCTTAATCCTTTAGGTTTAATCTGCTGGGTGACTTAAGAACAAGAAAAGTGAATGATGTAGCTGGGACCAAGACATCATCTGCCCAGTTTGTCATCTCAATTAAACCTTTTTGTTATTATTTCCTTTATCTAGCCTCTCCCCCACCCATGAGTCCTTGCAGTATACGTATTTCCAATATTGATAATGTCACTTCTCAGCTTCAAATCCCTCTGCATTTCCCCATTAATCGCAACACAGCGTGGACTGGGTGCCGCGGCATAAGCTGACCTTAACTCACTCCCATTTCATCCCCTGCTTTTCTTTGCACAGTTTGCTTTCTGGCCTCTTCAAACAGATCCCACATCCCCATCGCATGGTGCTCTATCGTGCTGCGTTTGCGCTTTGAATATACACTTCTCTGCCTGGATTGGTCCAAATGTCACTTCTGTGAAATCTTTCTTTGCAATGGCTTCTTTGCCCCTCTCCTGCCATTGCTTTCTTAGAGCATGCGTTGTGTACCGCTGGAATAGTGTCTGCCCTCTTTTCAGAGTGAGTTTCTTGCAAATAAAGGTGGCGGCATTCTCAATGTTACCTCATAGCCTGATAGGGCCTTAAAGAGATCCAGGCCCAGTGGCTGCCTTATCTAGGATGTCTTGAGAGTTCAAAACTAAAGAACTGAATCTGTTTGCCACAGGTAAGAAGTACTTTTACTTCTGTGCCCTTCTCGGCTTCTCTTCCCCCCCTCTGGAAGACTGATCCAGCACAGAGTGGATAATGGAGGGAAAGGGCGGCTAGATTGAAAAGCATTCTTTCCTCCTCTGCGTAGTCAGTACAGTTCTTTTCTGACAACAAAGGACACGTGTGTTGAATGATAGACCCCAGCCATGCATCCAACTGCAGAAAGTCTCCTTTGTCACAGCCAACGAAGTTAGTTGCTTCTACTAAAGTCACACTTGGAACTACTTTCTGTGCTTGCCTGGTCCTTCCCGACCTCCACTGCCAAGCCTAATGTTTCAGGTAGATGGATTTTATACAAGACGACCCCTTGCATTAGTGAAGGCAGGAGGGGATACTCTGTATTGCGGCATCTGGTGTGACCAGGCTGACAGCCTAATTCTTCAAGGAACACTAATTGAGAAGTAAGTGTTAGAACTTTGTTGTGGGCTAAGTTTGACTTTGGGGGGGGAGGGCTAGCTTTGATCCACCTTGTATTATACAACAGAGCATGGATAAAATATATCCCATTAGAATAATTAAGTTCGGGAATAAAGTTGAAGAAAGACCTTCAGTCTTGTTTACTCGGTTATCAAACGTTACTTTGTGTCGGCCCATTATGCCCCAGGCCCTATACTAGGAACCCGAGAATCCTCTGATTAGCAGGATAGAGTTTTAGCCTTGACGCAGACATTCACCAGTGTTCACATTTTCATAAGTGTTATGATGCTACAAGGGGGATTCTTCACTCCACAGGAACATGGAACCATCAAGGAACATTTTATAGAGAAGGTGCCATTAAGCCAAATTTAAGCTCTAGTTACCTTTCTGATGCTGTGACAAAACACACTGCGCATAAACAGGAAATTTTAGGGAGGAAAAGGATTTATTCTGGCTACACTTGGAGATCGTAATCCATTGTGGAAAGAAATCCAAGCATGAGCTCAAACCAGGACACCAAGTAACCTTAGAGAACTTAGGCGAGAGTGATCGCTTGAAGGGGAATGAAAGGCTGGCCGGAGGAGGAGTAGAATAACAGGACCAGAAGTTTGGAGTCCGAAATGCCCAGAGACCCAGACTCACACAAACAGACTTCTGATGGTGAACATGTGGTATTGATTGGCTCATTTTACCACAGAGCTCTTGAAAGGTAAAATAAAAGATAATACTATTTCCATGTGGACATTCCTAACGATTATACAAACCCTCTGTCACAACAGTTAATAATCTATGAATTATACATACTTAAATACATAACTAAGAAAGGATTAGTGACTTTATATGCCATTTTCTTCATCCCGAGTGCTACCTAAAGTCTGACACACTGAAAGTCCATAATAGAACTATGTCTGCAGTAATTAGCTAATTCTCCTCTTTTGAAGTTTACAGGATACCATTGTTTCGTTTCCTCTGTTGTCATTATATTTTTCTTTAATCTCTTTGGGTTAGAATAGTTAGAATTTCAGGAATGTAACTCAAAATATTAGTTGAAAGGGACAAAAAAACAGGAATAAGCTTGAGGCCTTTTTTCTTTTCCTTTTTTCCCCCTCCTCTTTAGTCAGCTGCAGAGCAGCGTGGCATTTCTCAGTTGTGCTGTCTGGGCCTAGTCTAGCACTCTGGTTATCAGTTATCAGTTTCCCAGCCTGTGTACTGATCTACTTTGCACTTGTTTAGCTTCCACAGAACCACACCCAAAAGTGCTTTATTGTCCCTCTGCAACTCCTAATATGGTCAAAGATCAACTCACCTTCCGGGTTGCTGACATCAGCAAATTCACGGTGTGGCGAAAGTGCCTTGGCTCCCAGTAACTCTTTGTTCCAGGAGTATTATTACAACAGAGTGTGTCTGACACCCAAGCAGCCTGTCCAGGCCCCTGCAGACCTAAACGTGCGCCCGAGAAACTGTGTTTGGATTTACCGCCACAGGCACTCCCAGACCTGTTGCATACTGGAACACTGCTAATGAGCCAAGAGCCAGGCTGAGTCCTCTGTGAGGTGTTTCTGGATGTCAAACTGCATTTGCTGCTTGATAATTACAGCAGCTCGTGGGATGAGAAGGAACCTGGCAAAAATTGTCCCCTTGTTAAATACACACTTGTTGATAACCTGTTGTATCTGTAGACACAATTCAAGTTTTCAGTCTCCCCAGAGCTGAGATTACAGATGTATGTGTTATATAATCAGTGTGTGTGTGGGGGGGGGGCATTTCTCTTGTGAATCTGCCCCCACAGGATTTATAATGGCATCTTCCTAGACTGGCTCTGTAATTATTTAAGTCAGATTATTTTGAAATAAGTTTAAAAAAATAAATATGGGCTTGGTACACTGGTCACTTCCCTGGTATTGGGGAGAGATGGGGATAGGGGTTGACAAAAGGCGAGGGAGAAGAAGGGAGGGTTGGGAGAATAGTCCACCCAGGCCTCAACTTCTAGTTTGACTCTTCCTAAAGTCTTTGCCTCTAAACTACTAGGTTTAGAGTGCAGTGATGCTAACCCCAGACGCTGGGAAACCTTCAGTATTTGGTTCAGGAATGAAAAGGTAGCAAAGGGAAAGGAATTCAAGATTTTCTAAACCGTTATTTGAATACATTTATTGCAACAAGAATGCTGTTATAAATATGCACAAGCAAAGGCCATCTTTCTCTCGGAGTTGTCGGAGTCCAGGTTGGAAGGAGACATCTGTAAAAACTTCCATGGGTTCCTGCTTTGAGAAGAAGCAGCTATTGCTAAACCTCTCCTAGGATTATAAATGAGCACAGCACATGCCTCTTGAACAGTTCCAGCTCTAAACTGGTGTCTGCTTTCCCAGTGGGGCGTCCCCTCCCTTGAACCATCCCTGTCTTCCAGCCTCTAGAAACACCATACCATTTTCTGGTTAACAGTCTGGACTCGGGGGTTGCTGGGGTGGGGAAGAGTGTGACCCAATGAAAGCATGCAGGGCGTCTATTTCTACAATCAAACAGAGAATACAGCTTTTACGCTAGATCTGACACTCAGCTGTTATTCCATCTAGCTACCAGTATCTATTCATAGTGCAGCCAAGAGGTTGGGGGCTACTTTTCAATACTTTATTGTATTTTCTTAAATATCCTTTCTGGAAATTTTCAGAAACAAAACATAAAAAAATTATATACTTTATTACAAATGGTAAACTCAGAACGCTTCAAATCTCTTATTTACAAACAACACTGGGCAGGACACCCAAACAAACAAACATGGAATAACTTACAAAGGCAGGAAGCTGTTTATTGACAGTAATCAGCTTTCATCAAATTAAAAAAAATATATATGTACATACACAGTCGAGGGAGGCAGGCCAGGGAAGTTCATCTGCGGTCTAGCCTGGCATTCACGAGCCTCCCTCCCCTCCCTAGCCCTCCCTGCTTTGTGTTCTTAAGGAGCACTACAGAAGCAATCTACAGTTTGCAGTTTATAACCCCCCACCCAACCCCCCCTTTAATACTGAATGAGATCGAATGTTAGGTCCATGCAGTTCTTGGTCAATGTTAACGAAAAGTCCATTGCTCTGGTCGCGCGGGCACAGCCCATTCGCCAGGCCTGTCAGCCAATAGGCCGCCGCTCTCTGGCTCCGCGCCAAGGCAAGGCGCGCCACGTCCTTCCCACTCCAACACACTGGGGGCGCCGTCAGGACGCAACCCAGTCCATCTTGTGTACCCTTGGCTTCGGTACTCGGGCACTTTTGTTTTTCTTTCGCAACCAGTCAAGTTCTCAAGTCTGTCTCTGATATTTTTTCTTCCATTACCCCTCAGCCCTGACAGTCTGTCCTCAAAACGTTTGCAACTGCTGCGTTAGCATGAGCTGGCACCCACTGTTAACGTGGTTCATGACTTTCTGTTTAAGCTGTGCCACCTGTTCCCTGAGCATGTTGGCCGTGGACGCCAGCTCCGAGTTTTGCGCTTTCAAGGTTTTCACTTTTTCCTCTAGTCGGGCGATCCTCTCCAGCTTCCTTTTCCGGCACTTGGAGGCAGCGATGCGGTTCCTCATGCGCTTCCTCTCCGCCTTGATCCGCTCCTGAGACTCCATGTCGATGGGGGACAGGGGCGGGGTCTCTCCCGGCATCTCGGGCACGGTCTGCGGCTCTTCCTTCAGGGCCTGCAGCCGGGGGTGCTGCACCGGGATCTGTTGGGGCAAGTGGTGCGGCGGCTGAGGCGGCTGCTGCTGCTGCTGGGGCTGCGACGGAAAAGCCAGCCCGGCCGCGCCGTAGGAGGGCGCCCCGCCGCCGCTGCTCAGCGCACCCGGGTTGAAGTTGCTGAGGTTGGCGTAGACCGGAGGCTCGCTGTGCAGGCTGGCGCTGTAGCCTCCGCCGCCGCCAGCGCCGGCTACCGATGCCACCGCGGGGGCCACCATGCCCGCCCCGCTGACCGGCTGTGCCGCGGACGTGACGCTGGGCAGCGTGTTCTGGCTATGCAGTTCGGCCAGGGCGCGCACGAAGCCCTCGGCGAAGCCCTCCTGCTCGTCGGTCACGTTCTTGGGGCACAAGAACTGGGTGGGGGTCGGCGTGGTGGTGATGTGCCCATTGCTGGACTGGATGATCAGGCGCTCCAGTTCGGGCGACGCCAGCTTAAGCAGCCCAACGTCGGGCGACGTGAGGAGGTCCGAGTTCTTGGCGCGGAGGTGCGGCTTCAGATTGCCCACCGGGTCGGCCAGGTTCAAGGTCATGCTCTGTTTCAGGATCTTAGGGTTACTGTAGCCGTAGGCGCCGCTCTCGGACTGGAGGAACGAGGCGTTGAGGGCATCGTCGTAGAAGGTCGTTTCCATCTTTGCAGTCATAGAACGGTCGCTCAGTTCACGCGGGGTTGGCCTGGGCTGTGCGCTGAAGTTTCGGGGCCGCAACAGCGCGCTGGGGAGCGGGGGACACCCGTGCGTCCCTGCTTCGGTGACAAGTAAAGTTTGTCTAAGAGCGCGCGCTCCGGTCGGCGGTGCTCCCCCCTGCGCCCTCCTCCCCAGCTCGCTCCAGGGAGAGCAGGGTTAAGAAACCGCCTGCGCTCACGTTGGTCGACTCCCGCGCGCTGCCCCCGGGCTTTGAAAAGTCGCGGTCACTCACCGAGCGCTCTCGGATGGCAGCGGTTCCTCGGGGACTGCGGACCAGCTCCAGCGACTCTCCGGCGGCGCGAACCAGTCGTCAGGGAACTCTCGGTGGAAGCCCGCAATCGGGCTCCGCCGCCCCGGACTCCGACAACTGTCCCCTCCTCCGCGGCGAGGGGGAGGGGGACGCTCGGCGGCCGCGGCTAGCGCTCGCCCAACTTCAGCAGCCTGTGCGAGCCTGGCTGAGTGTAGGTTCCTCTTCTCCCTTTTCTTTTACGGTCTCGGTGGCAGCCTAAGGCGCAGCAAAGGTTTGCAAAAGTTCGCTCCGGGCCACTTGTTCCCGGTCTTCTGGGTCAGGAAAGTTGCTGGCCGGCGTAGCCGCTCGCCTATTTCCTCGCGCGGGCAGGCGCCGCTCTCGAAGCTGTCAGCCGCGCCGGGACTTGGGAGCGTCTTCTCCGGGGAAGGCGGGAGAAGGGACTCTCCAAGTGCTCCCCAAAACACCGATGCTGGAACCGCGGGCGCTGGATCCAAGGAGTCGGTGAGAAAATGAAGACAAACAGATGAGCAGCCCGGAGTCCGCGGCCGTCCAGGTTGACCGAGTCCGTCCGTCCGACTCTCTGTCTGCCTTTCTGCTTGAGCGCGTTCCTACCAGGTCGTCTCTGCCACACTCAGTGCAACTCTGAGTCCTTATCCAGCCTGAGCTCAACACTTATCTGCTACCAGTCAACCCCTAAAAATAGCCCATGATGTCACCCCAAGGCCTTCCCATTGGCTTGCGTCGCTCTCAGGGGGGCGGGCCCGCCTGTCGCCATGGAGACCTCACCCTAGAAGATTCTTCTCTGGGCCCGCGGAGGCTCACGGGATGAGGTAATGCTCCGCTGCGCTCCTACAGTTGGGCCCTTCTTTCTCCTCCTCCCTCCCTCCCTCCTCCCGCGCGGCGCTCGGGCTTGTGTTCCCGGGTTCCCTCCCCGGCGCGTCTTTCCCGGCCCGCCCGGTGCATTGTGGGCTGACGTCTTGGTTTGGCTGTCTAGTGACGGAGGCTGCCGGGTCGGCTGGACCCTTGCGGCGTCTGTCGGTGGCGGGCTCAAGTTCAGGGATGGGGACCCAGGCCGAGACCCGAGACGTGGGGATCCAGAAAACTGGGGAGGCGCACTAGTGGCCCGGGGTGGAAGGCCTGGGAGGGGAGTGGAGTTGGCACAGACGCACGAGAGTGGAGGTGACGCGCACAGATGCACACACACACACGCACACACACGTGTGAAGCGGCTGAGCGACCTGAGCTCCAGCAGGCTCTGCACCCCCGCACTTCCGGGAGGTAGCGGCGCGGGTTAAGATGGTTGTGTGTGCCCCGGGAGTGCGAAAGTGGGTTGAAGTTGAACGGGCTTGAGAGTGTCCCTCCCACGTCTTGAGCACGCGTGGAAGTTTGCCTCTTGGTTAAGTTCCGGCGGGGGATCTGCGCCGCCGTGTGCTGTACCTGGAAGCCAGAGATTTGCGGTACTAGGAACCGGACTCCTCTGGGTCCTCGGCACAACACGTACCCTCTGGGGACATGCGGGGAGGGGCTCGCTTTGCCTCGGAGGGACGCGTTTTCTAGATGTGAAATTAAGGTGTGACTCCCAGCACCCATGGGGGGGGGGTGTCAAAACCAACATTTAAGGGTTCAAAACTCGGGAAACCCCGGCGATCGCCTGTGCTCGAGCGCACACACGGTCCCGCGCGCGCTCAGCTCGCGCCCGCCCTTTCCCCCTCCTAATTTGCTTCTGGGAAAACAAGTCTTAAGAGCCGCCGCCGACTCGCCCGAAAGTCACGCTGCCTAAGCGGGAGTCCCTGGTAAGAAGCAGGCTAAACGCTCCCCTCCCCGCCCGCTGGTGGAGCTATATTCTCTGCGGCCTCTAGGAAGCGCTAGACACATGTAAGTGGTTTCTTTCCTAGGGCGCTGCTATCCGACCTCCATCCTCCACCCCTTAGGTCTAAAGAGGTGGCAAGCCTGGCTCTCTCACGGCATAAGTGCAAATCTCGGGACTTCTCTGAGCTTTATTGGCCTCTCTACAGGTAGAGCGGGTGAGGTCCGCTGTCTCGGGCTTCCAGGCATTAGTGTTATCTTCCGTGACTCCAGGACTAGAAGGAGGCTGTCCCCTTCCTTGTCCCCTTCAGCGTCCCCCCTGGGCCTTCTCGGGAGTACCAGACTACAGGGGTGTGATTTGACTGATTTGGCAGGAGCCGGTGAGCAAGGTAGCAAAAGGTCATGAGCCAGCTCTTCCCCCAAGCCTCCTTTTCGCCCAGGAATTAAGGTTTGAAGTTGGACCTTTTTTAAGTTCCGAGGTTCTAATTTGAACTTTTCTGCCTCGGAACTCAGCCCAGGGTTTGTAGCCTTAAGATGTTTTGCCTTGGAGCATTCAGAACCCAATAGCAGCTGGTATCGGTGGGAAACGGGCCAACTCTTTCTACCCTGCCTCTGCGTGCTCATTTCGCTTTCGCTCAGACTGCAGAGGGTAACTGACTGGCTGCTGCCAACCAGGCACTGACCTTTGTGGGGGCAGGGTAGAGAGAGCAGGGTTTCGGTGAAGTCCAGATCCATTTACTTCCCCCAAAGAGAGAATGCGTTCCCCTAATCAAGGAGCTCATATTCTACGTGATTTATGATAACAGTAATAAAAGTAAGTTTTGTCCATTAAACAGCCCCTATCTGCCAGTTAGCTCGAGCACTTTAAGTATGCCGTTTCCTTCCCACAGCCATCTTGAGGCGCGTACATTTTTACCTAGACTTTACACAGGAGGAACTAATCCCAGAGAGTTCATGAGCCTTGCTTGGGGTACAGGAACAGCTGGAGATGAAGTCTGTGTTACATTCCTTTGTATTTTCTCCACTCTGGCAAACTTTCTCCCAAAGCTTTGGTTGTCTGTTTGGGAAGGGTTGCTGATGGCCTAGAAGTTGTTTTCTTGCTCCTGTATTTAGAAACTCGGGGACTTAGGACTGGGTAAGTATGTAGCTTTTGCCCAAGGGTCCTGTGCCTTTCCTGCCTCCTGCGGCCTAGGAGGCTTATTTTCTACTTCGCTTAAGAAATAGCACGTTTCATCCTAGGCTAAAAAGTTGTGCTCTTGCTAATGCCTCTGCTTGCAAGCCACCATCCACTTCCTCTTTGTCTGGGAGAAGGGGTTTTTCCCACAGTCCAGCCAGCCACTGCTATCTAGCCTCATCTTGCTGGAGGCTCAGTTGCAAAGCGCTGAAGGGGAATACACTGAGAGTCACTCAGAGCTTTGCTGAGGTCCCCCTTCAGTCACAGCTGGTGAGAAGCTGGACAGTGGACAGAGTTCCCTGCTCAGCCCCAGTGGGCAAGTAGTGGGAGGGAGCAAGAAACCATCATTTACTGACTTCGGCCTCTGGGGTGATGGGTTTGGGGTAGCATAGCTGAGCCTCCACATGGAATACCTTGTATCCTACAAGAAACTACACTTGTATGGGAATTACAATCAACCTGCATTACAAAAGACTATCTTCAAGGTCTTAAATCTTTTAAAGCCCTGGGTCTTCATTAAGTCTTTGGAAGACTTCAGGCAAACCCAGGGTCACAGAAAGTGGTCGGTCGTAGGAGCAGAACCAGGCCCTAATATCAGGAATGGATTGAGGGGTGGGCGTGTTCTGAAAACACTCAGGGGCTAGCATCTACTGTGCCCTCAGGACCTTCCCTTCCCAAGCAGAGCCCTGTCTCTGCCCCATCTTATAATGTGAATGGGATTCAGGGGAGCTAGTTCTCCCTCAGAGGAAGACACACCTGGACCTAACGCCTCTCTACACTACCTCTCAAAGCCTGGATGTGAACATGCTGTTACTGAGTGGTTGTTGGGGCTGATCCCCCTGGAGAAGGAAAGAAGACAGGAAGGACCCCTTTCAGGCCCTCAGTGGCCGGCCTCCTGACTGGCTTTCTTTCTCATATGCCACTGGCCAAAGCTGAGAGGCAGTGGGAGTAGCCACAGCAACTGTTCTTTTCTGGTCCCGTTCCAGTGGTTTGCCCCGTTTCTTTGCTTTCTTATTCTTCTGCCTCATGTTCTGCTCATCTCTTTCCTTTTGCTTTTGGCTTGGTTTTGAGTATGTTAGCCTTAGGAGATGGGAAAGTTGTACCTTTCTTCTCCTCTCCAGAGCTGAATGAACTTTGGGTACCATCATTCAGTATACCGAGGGGTTGGTTTGGATAGTTTGAGACAGGGTCTTGTTATAGCCCAAGCTAGCCTTGAAGGCAACCCTCCTGCCTCCAACTCCCAAACACTGAGGTCACAGTGTTCACCGTCATTTTCTTTGTGTCTTGAGAGTTTTAACAATAGGTTATTACCCCTTGAACAGATCCTTGCTGCAAGGCTGAACTTCTCCAGACCCTTCTCTTGTTTGTTTTATTTTATTGGGATTGCCTTTGTTCAACCTGCAAACCTCCAAAGTTTTGGATTTTCTGTTTTCTTTTGTTCCTACTTAAGATGTGGCCACATTGACCTAGATCTTACTTCAGTCGCCACCTGCAAATGCTCCTGGCCTGGTGTTATAACCTCTTGCTTTCACCCATTAGGTCCCCTTGTAAGGCGCTGTCCATAAGATAGTTGTGCCTACTTGGAAAAGTTCATCACAGTTGGGCGTGTGCTGTTGACATTCCCTACTTGGAAGGAGGGAGAGACAGTGTCACTGGACCCTCACCGGAGCATCCAGTCACTCCTTCCTGCCATGTGTATGCAATTGTACTCTAATTGCATGTGGCGATGGGGTCTCCGGGTGTGGGTGGATTGTATAGTCTGGGGAAGACTTGGGGAAAGAGTCTCCATCCATGCAGCCACAGGGGCGCTATCATCAATGCTGGTGCAGGCCTTGCAGCTCAGCTGCTTTAGAGTCTCCCGCAATCCTGCCTGTAACCGGCCCCCTCCATCTTTTTTTTTTCAGTTTTTGTTTTTATATTTTTTTTTTAATTGAAAAAAATTTCCACCTCCTCCCCACCTCCCATTTCCCTCCCTCTCCCCACTCTCCTCCCCCTCCCTCCACTCCTCTTCCCCTCCCTCTCCAGTCCTAAGAGCAGTCAGGGTTCCCTGCCCTGTGGGAAGTCCAAGGTCCTCCCCACTCCATCCAGGTCTAGGAAGGTGAGCATCCAAACAGGCTAGGCTCCCACAAAGCCAGTACATGCAGTAGGATCAAAACCCAGTGCCATTGTCCTTGGCTTCTCATCAGCCCTCAGTGAGGGAAGATGAGAAACCCCTCCGTCTTCTATGAGGAAGCCTAATGAACTCACTGGTTTCCCTGGTGAAATGTGGTAGAATCGAACTTTGATTTGTTGGTGGGCCCTTAGGAGTTGGAGGTAGGTGCTGCTTAGTCTCTCCATCTCCACTACCCCACCAACCCACCCAGGGGGAAAATTCTGACAGGTTCATTATCTGTCTCTTAACTTACGACAGGTAAGGTTTGCCAAAAAGATCACTATCCTTTCAGCCTGCGTCCTCAGCTGTTGGCCAGTCGAGATGAATGGCTGGCTTTTATGTTTCTTGGTTTTATTGTGTTACCCCATGCCATGTTTTAAATGAGTCAGGTCAAGTGCAGTTATAGTGCTATAACACAGAGCCCTAAAAATCTCAGTAGCTTATAGAGAAATTTACTTCTTGCTCATTGTATATGCCCAGGTTCGGAAGGGCTGTGTTTAATTGTGTTAACCTCATCTGTAGAAGTTTTCGTCTTGAATCGTGCTTCCGGAATCATGATAGTCATCTTGGTGGGGAAAGGAGGCACTAGTCCATGCCGACTTTAAGAGCTTTTTCCAGGTGTGATGCACATTATTGAATTCATAGACTAGAAGCTGATATGAGCCACATGACTCGTTGCCTGAAAGGGTGCAGGGACATTCAGTCCCACTGTATGCCTGAAAGCCAGGAGTTTGAAGTGCCCACTTGTGTCTAGGCGAGATGACTGCCGTGGAAGCCATCCACAGATCTTCCCGGATTATAGCCTCAGGGTTATTCCCCACTCGTGCTACGTGTCTACAGAAGTCAGCTCTGCCTGGACTTGTACACACATGTTGGTTCTGGGACCCCAGCCAACCGCATCTTCATTCTAAACATTGCTGAGAGCAAAGACTACACAAATCTTAAAGCTCCTCCGGAGAGCAGTTCACGTGGCCACGCCAGACGTCACAGGGGAGGGAAGCAAGTATTTGTAAATAGAGATGCCATCCGCCACACCCTACAATCCACATTCCATCCATACCTCAGAGTCTCAGCCTCTCCAAACACTTTATCTACCTCCTTCATGTATTTTTATTCGTTATCAAAATGTGCACTGGCTTAAGGCATCGCTCAGTGGCTAAACAGGCTTGCCACCAAGCCTGGCAACCTTGGTGCAATCACCGAGACCCAAGGGTAGGAGAGAATGGATAACCCAAGTTATCATCTGACCCCTCCTCCCACACACACACACACTAAAATAAATGTAATTTTATATAAGCTATTTATTCTTCAAGAGTTAGATCAAATCATCACTCCTCCGAAAGCTTTCACTACCAATCTCCCAACTCACACAAATCATTTTATCCTCTTTGGCTCTCACCACAGTGGGTAGGTAGCTAGGAGATAGAGCCCCTATTACTCTTGAATGTCTTCTTTAATCGTTGACTCAAAACCCAGAAATGGTGTCTTTCTTATTTTGTATCTCCAGTGCTTAATAAGTATCTGGCACATGGAAGGATAAAGGATGCTGGGTAAAAGCTTAGTGATGGATTGTTAAAAAAAAAATTGCCTTTGCATGTGGAATTATGGGTGTTTTAAAAGTGAAGCAGAAATATTACCTGGACTTAGTTCATAATATTTGATCATGGCAAATTTTCTACCTGCACCGCTTCATCTTTGTCAAGTTAACCACCTCTCTTCCTTTGTTCCTCTGTCTCTCTACAC